TCCACTAGCTTTGTTCATAGTGATGCTTCCTAAGGCCCACTTGACTTTGCATTCCAGGATGTCTGGCTCTTGGTGAATGATCACACCATTGTGATTATCTGGGTGGTGAAGATCTTTTTGTACAGTTCTTCTGTGTATTCTTGCCACCTCTTCTTAATATCTTCTGCTTCTGTTAAATTCATACCATTTCTGTCCTTTATTGTGCTAATCCTTGCATGGAATGTTCCCTTGGTATCTCTAATTTTCTTGAAGAGATCTCTAGTCTTTCCCATTCTATGCTTTTCCTTTATTTCTTTGCACTGATCACTGAGGAAGGCTTTCTTATCTCTCCTTGCTATTCTTTGGAACTCTGCATTCAGATGGGTATATCTTTCCTTTTCTCCTTTGCCTTTCACTTCTCTTCTTTTCTCAGCTATTTGTAAGGCCTCATCAGACAACCATTTCGCATTTTTGCATTTTTTTTTCCTTGGGGATGATCTTGATCACTGCCCCCTGTACAATGTCCTGAACCTCTATCCATAGTTCTTCAGGCACTCTATCAGATCTAATCCCTTGAATCTATTTGTCACTTCCACTGTATAATCGTAATAGGTCTCCCCATCCTATTCTTCTGCCATCTTGATTTAGGATCTAGCATTAACTGATAGCACGTTTGTGGGGCTTCTGCTAACTGGGCCTAGCAGAAAATCTACTTGTAAACAGGCATTACAAAAATGGTGTCTGCCTGATTCCTGAGAAAGAAATCACCCTTCTTATTCTCTATATGATAATTTCTTTATAATCAATCTTTCTGGTTCTGTCTCCATCAAGTTGAGTTCTCAAGAATCATCTACAGATAAATAATAATCACTGGTTCTAATAGTTTCTAAAATATGATATTTATCTTGTCTCAAGATACCTTTTTGGGGAAGTTGTTATGTACAGAACTTTTCCACCTCTGCTTTCCAGTTAACAGCTGGACTGGTTTCTAGTTACAGCCTCGACCTTATACTACTAAGTGATGTTAATATTTGAATCCTATATACTCCTATTTCCCTTAACTGAAATAATGATTGAAGACAGAAAAGTAAAAGCAGAATCTAACTTATATCCTATCATGTGAACTATTATCTTCCATTGTAAAGTAAACTATTGTAAACTATTATCTTCCGTTGTTTTTTTTCTCAATGTGGTAAGTTATTTCAGAACAAAAAAAAACACACATGAACACAATGCAGTAAGCTCACATAGATGAGCTTTGATAGATGCTAAATAAAAAAAAAATTTTTTAAACAAATGCATACCTACAGGATTGGAGTAGGAAATAGCAACCCACTCCAATATTCCTGCCTGAGAAATCCCATGGAGAGAAACCTGGCAGGCTATGAGGTCTAAAAGAGCTAGACATGACTGAGCACACACAGGCACATACCTAACAGGATAACTGCTATTTGTAAGATTAAAATGATGAAATCACAATTTTATACTGCCTTATAATTCATGAACATCTAATTTATTATCCACACTTCCCATTTTGGAAGTTGGGAAATACTCTCACTTGGAAGCCAATCTGAAAACAAAAATAGTTTTATAAAGATAGGGAAGTCCCCCTTGTTAGATTACACACCAGGATGTAGTATTAAAGTGATTCTTGGGGGCTTTGGGAAAAATACCGTGTTTAAATTGTTTTCAGTGCTGGGGCTTCAAAATATCAATGCTTTTCCACCCTCCGGAAATTTACATTGAGCCATACAACAAACTAGAAAGCATTTAAAAATAGACACACACCCACACATATGAAATTTGCTTATCTAGTGAAGTTCTCAAAAGCTCCCTTCTGATGAATACTTTTAGTATGCTAAAAATGAAGTGTAGATTCCTAGACCCAACTTCAGACCTTCTGAATCAGATCCTGAGGATGAGGTCTCTATCTACATTCCTTAACATAAATTTAAGCTATTCTAAAATGCCCTAATCTTATGTGCAAGTGGGGACAAATAAAACTAGGTAGTCATCAAATAATTACTTGCCCTAATCTAGTGAAAGTGATGTCGCTCAGTCGTGTCTGATTCTTTGCAACCCAGTGGACTGTAGCCTACCAGACTCCTCCGTCCATGGGATCTTCCAGGCAAGAATACTGGAGTGGGTTGCCATTTCCTTCTCCAGGGGATCTTCCCGACCCAGGGATCGAACCCAGGTCTCCCACGTTGCGGGCAGACGCTTTACCCTCTGGGCCACCAGGGAAGTCCCTGGACACTTATCAAAAGACCTGCAGAGTTTCTCTTTTTGGTTTGGTTGGTTTTTGGTAATACAGCAATCACTACTTCTGATTAGTTTCACTTCTACCTAACAGAACATAACAGCTGCTACCAAACCAACCTTGAGCACTAGTCCAGCTCATTCCTCTCCCCATTAAAAAAAAAATCCAAATATCCAAAGCCAGACTGGATGTCCTGTCTTCAGCATAATAGTCAGCAGTCCCCACCAAGGGCAACGCCAAAAATATCTCCTGAGCCAAATGGAAATTCTTGGCAATAACGTAAGCCCTTTCTGGAGATGTGCATATTAAATGGATTGCAGCAGTGACAGGTTAACATAGGCCGGTCATCAAATAAATCCATTATCAGGTAGAGAGCAGGGTCCAAGAAAAATGATCCATACCAGCAGCAAGTTTTGACAGAAAACATGGAAAGCAGAAAAGGCCTAACTGGAATAGATGAGTATTGGAAACCAAATTAGCAAAACAAACTAAATTTGCCTTCTTTACAAATTTACCTCTTTTCAGGGAGTGAAATCATTGACAAGATTTTAACTGAAAGATACATGGCCCCGACTTATTGAAACTTTTCGATAAGCGCTCACACCTCTCTCCACATATAGAGATACATGACAAAGTGTAAGTGGTGACAATTTTATTAAAAGAGAATGAATGTGTAACAAAAGCCCAGGCCAAACTTGATAAACCCTCCAATGATAAATTCTATGGGTAATGAAATATTCTGCAACATAACACTGAGACCTATGAGAGAATTAGATGTACATATTCTTTGCACTCAAAAGGATTAAGTATAAAGATAAGTGTACTTTCCACTATATCATGTCCTGTTTGAAGACATTAGAAAATTCTACAGTTATTCTTCAAAAGTTCCGAAATAATGAGTCTTCCTTAAACCCGAAAAGCACCTCAAAGTGCTAGGACCTAATTTCTTGTTGAGGCTTCCCTGGCAGCTCAGTGATAAAGAATCCGCCTGCCATCTAGGAGACCAGGGTTTGATCCCTGGGTAGGGAAGATCCCCTGGGCAAGGAAATGGCAACCCACTCTTGTATTCTTGCCTGGGAAATCCCGTGGACAGAGGAGCCTAGCAGGCTACTGTCCCCAAGGTCACAAAAGAATCGGACACAACTTAGTGACTAAACCAATCAACCAATTTCTTGTTGACTTAAATGTTAGTTTGTATCCCCCTTGCTAAAGGATGCTAGATAAGGTTCCAAGGAGTAATTATTACATTAACTAAAATGATATGCTGCTAAACTATCTCCAGCACAGACTGAAAATCTGGAAGACAGGAAAGGATTAGAAATCTAATTTCCTACATGAAAGTTGAAGCACTGCTTCTTTTTTATTTTCCTCTCTGGGACTTTTTCATTGCCCTCCCAAATATGACAACTTGCAAATATTCACATCCAGAGGAACATATTCTAAAACTATTCTAAGATGGGAGAAAAGGCTCCAATTTTAAGACTTGAGAATGTACTTTAATTCTGTAGGCACAGGTTCACCAAATCAGCTAGCAATAATTTAACCAAATGGGTGACTCAGCCTTGTTGAGAGGAGTTTTTTGGTTTTGTTTTTTTAACTTAGAGAAAACTTCACATTTAAAATCCTACAAACACAGAAGCTCCAAGCTTTCTACCTCGAACACAGGCTAAGCCTTAGGATACCCACTGGAAAGGATTTAAGAATCTGTATTAAACATACTTTATACCAAAGTACTGGATGTTCTCTAAGCTTCCTTTTAGCTCAAATAGTCCTTATTTTTCTTTGCCAACTTTACCAGACTACTCTTAGAGCCTTAGTAATTACAAATAGACTGAATGAGAAAATTCAGAATTAAAGCTGTCATCATTAAACCTAATTAAACAGTACAGACAGGGATATGGCAGTAGAATAAAGCACTCTGAATTAGGGACAGGGAGAACATAATTAGTAGTTCGCAGTCGCAGGCATGAAAGAGCATACAACAAAGTCTGGCTCGGGTCTGGGGCATAGTGGACAATGTCTCTGTCTCCAGGGTGGCAAGAGAACCACACTAACAGAGGCAGACTCTGCCTTCTATTAATGCGACAAACTCTCTACCTTAAGTAACCAACCACCCGCAGGAAAACACATGTCCACTAGGAGAGTGAACTCTCCCATTTCAGCGTGAATTCTCCCTTTCTGGCAGTTTTCCTACTTTCTGTCCCCAAAAGGGAATCCATATACTCAACACTGCAAATTGAAAGGCATCTCACCCCTACATGGCACTTGTGGTCCAAACAAAAGCCATGGTTTTAAAAGGAGGGTGGGATGGATTCGCTCCCTTCGGTCAGTAAAGGGCTGTGGCTGTTAGCCGAACCTCCTGCAGCTCTGGCTTTGGACTCTCGCCTCAAGTCACATTGTGATATCACCGTGACGGACCCTTGATATTTAATGAGTCTCGACTGAAAATAAAAAAAAAAAGACCGATCTTATTGGGAGCCAGGGAGAGGAAGCCTGAACCTCCTGCGGATTGCCTCCGCAACAGACGGGGAGAGCGGCAATGCGGGCTGGAACCTCCCCGGCGCCCAGCCGGGGTGATCCAGCTTTTCTGCAAGTTTTTCTCTACCTTCCACTGAATTAACCTAACAAGCCCCCACCCCCCACCCAGCCCTACCAGGAAAAGTCACACCGGCAACTCGCCGAAGGGCAGGGGGGGGGACAGCTCCGAGCGCGCCACCCAAGTTGAGGGTTTGACCGCCCTTTAACCCTTCCCGCCCCAAAGCCCACTCTGCACCCGGGGCAAACCCAAGCTCTGCCAACTTTCCCGGCCGCCCCCCTCCAATGCGCACCACAGCCCAAACTTTGCAGCTCGCCCACCTGGCTGCGCAGAGGAGCGAGGTGTCCGGGACACCGGGTGCCCCCACCGGGACGGGCGGTGGCGCTGACCTTCACGCCAGCAACCCCGGCCCCCGACCCCCGAGCCTGGCGATCGCCGCCTCCCGCCCCCTCCCCCGAACCTCCGACAGCCTGCCCCCGGGGCCCCTACAGCAGCAACCCCCCACCACCTCACCGCAAAACCTCTCGCGGGAAACCTGCGCTGGAGGCGGCTGCAGCTCGCCCTCGCATGTCACGACTCCCCACGACCCTCTGGGCCCCGGGAGAGCCCGGCTCCCAGCTCCGGCCTCCCTCCGGCGGCGCCTACTCACCATTGGTGAAAGGCTCCATTATTTGCGGCCCCCTCTGCCCCGGGCCGCGGCTCCTGAGAGCGGGAGCGCGCGAGCTTCCTCCTCCGAGAGCTCCGAGCGGCCCCGCGTACTGAGCATGCCCGGCGCGGCGCCCAGGGCTGCCAGGGAGGTGCCGCGAGGGGCGGTGCCGCTCCGCCCTCTCTGGGATCCGCCACTCCGGGTTTTGCAGGCAGCTGCAGAGAGAGCCGGGCAATCTAGGCGGGGCGGCTCCTGGGAGGGGCGTGTCCAGAACAAGCCCCGCCCCAGGCAGGAAGGCCGGCGGGCAGGCTCGCACTCTAGTTCTCTCCGGTTCAGCACTCCGAACCGCGCTCAGTCCCTTTAAAGCAAACGGGATGGTCTGTCGCGTCTGGCAGGTGTCCCGGCTCTAGACGCCGGTACCCACGCGCGTAACACATCGCCCCACGGAGTGGACATTCCAGAGATGGGACGAGAAACACAGGCCAGAGAAGAGGTTGAAATACACGCCCCCCTGTTGAGCCTTCAGTTAGGGTGATGGGATGCAGACCCAGTGGGGTCGCTGGTTCGGATGGCTGGGTGAGGACAGAGACCTGGGTGGGAGGTGGCCGCGGGCGCCGAGATCTGAAGGCAGAGTAGGTAGCAGTCTTCGGGTGCAGGGCTCTCCGCAGACTGCCCAAGCTTCGAGTTTCCCCGGGGGTGTCCAGCTCCCTTCGGCAAGGCTCCAGGGAACAGGCACTCTGGGTCGTCTCCGTAGGCTGCTCGCTCGCCGCATAGTGGTCCCAAGCGATCGGTGGCGGAGACTCAAAGGGGGGCGACCGCCGGGGGCGGGCACCCGGGGTCCTGTCCCCGGGGGACTAGCGGGCCTGGGGGCGCCGCCTCTACCTCCCGGTGCAGGCAGATGACAAAACACGGCGCTGGATCCGCCGGGGCCAACTGGCCCCGCAGGATGTGGGCAGAAGGCCTGGCCCCGCGGAGCCTTAAATCAACACCTGGCGGGGCTCCGCACCACCACCACCACCCCCCAGGGTGTCGCCGCTGCGGCCGGGCAGGGAGGAGCTAGGCCCGAGAAACGGAAACTCCATCGGTCGCCACAGCTGCCCGGCATCCAGCGCCCCAGCAGCCTCCAGCAGCCCCCCAGCCATCATTGTTTCCGGCGTCAAACCCCGGGCAGGGCCGGCGAACCTTTGGGGTGGAAACAAACGGGGGGGGGGGGCGGGGCGGGTTGCGCCGTGAGCCCCGGGGAAGCTCGTCTGGGCCCCCGGCTTCTTCATCCCTTGCTCAGAGGGCGCATCGCCGCCACGGCGCGGAGATCGCAGCCCTCCCAGGGCGCGGCCACCGCCTCCCGTCCCTCTTCCCTCCTTCCCCCAGCGCAGCCCTGGCCCCAGCAGCAACTTGGCTCCCGCGACGCCTCCCGGCGCCTGCCAACTGTCACAGGCTCTCCTCCGAGGCTGTCAACAGCAGGGCGTCGCGTGCAAACAAGCTGGAAGCGAGCGCAAACAGCCTGGGCAGACGGGGACGGCCGCGGCGCTGTTTGACCCGAGTGGGAATTTAGAAATTAGGTTTCCAAGAAGTAAAAGCTGCGTGCAATTATTGTATTTTGCAAGTTTCATTTTAAAGTGTCGATCGTATTAAATCGCTCAATTTCGCTTTAAAACCTCCTGTGGATACCAACGACACTTAGAATAAAATTGAAACTCTTTGCCTGAACTCTGGGACCTCATCTCCCAACTGTGCCCACGATGCTTTGTCTACCGAGGCCCTTCAGGCTGTTCCTGAAAGTCGCCAAGTTACATCAAATCATTCCCGTAACGCGTTCCTCGTGGATGAACTGTTCCTCCTGCCTTGTGCTTTTGCCTGCTTGTTCCTTCTTGTCTTTCAGTGCTCAACTCAAATGTCGTCTCTGCAGAGCTCTTCCCTGGCCCCCCAACGGAAAAGAGGTCCAAACATGAACTGCTGAGTAAAGACTGAGCCCTGCTTTATTATCTTCACAGCACTGTCTTAAACAGTGTTTTTGTTCCTTCTTTCATTATTATCAATCTCTCTTTCCAGAATGCAGGCGCCAGGAAGACAGGGTCATTACCTTCAGAAAGGGCTGTATCTTAAATCCTAGGATTTGTGAATGGATGCCGCGGTTTTTAGAGTTCTAGTTCTCTTGCAATGTTGAAAACCCTTCCAGAGAACATTTCTATATTGAGTGGTGTGTTTGTGATCAGTACAGAGGTCTGTATCATATGACACTTCAAAGCTGCTCTCTTCTCTTGACATTGTGTTAAAGATAATCAGAGCCCCTAGGCTGCCTCCTCACAACCCTTCTTCCCCCCAACACGTGACAACTTCAGAACCAAAAATAGGAAGGGAACCACAGGGGCTGGTACATAAGTGTTCAAATATCATATAGTATTTGTAGTGCTGGATTTTGTTAAAAGGACCCCACACATTGTATTGCTTAGATAGGAGGCTCTTACCTATATTTTCAGTTCAGTTCAGTCGCTCAGTTGTGTCCGACTCTTTGCGACCCCATGGACTGCAGCACACCAGGCCTCCCTGTCCATCACCAACTCCTGGAGCTTGCTCAAACTCATGCCCATTGAGTTGGGGATGCCATCCAACCATCTCATCCTCTGTCCTCCCCTTCTCCTCCCGCCTTCAATCTTTCCCAACATCAGGGTCTTTTCCAATGAGTCAGGGTCCTGTCATGTTCCTTTGGAGTTATTTTTGCAGAGATATTTACAGCTCCACAGCTTGTTAAATCTCCTCACCTCACCTCACCTGTAAGCTGGAGTCTGTCATGCTTTTAAGTGTGAAACACATCACCTTGTGTTTGGTCTTAAATACGTCAATTCCGCAGAGACTTATAAAAATGCTCCACCATTGCACTAACAAATATAGGTGGATGATCATATCTTATGTGATTTCTTTGGCATAAAGACAAATAACTTCTTTATCTTCCCTTTGCCAACTTCTTGCCTCCTGTTCCTACCCAGGCATGGGTATGCGGCCACATGCATGCACACACGTGCGCACACACACACACACAAATACATAAGGACCATTTAAAGACGTGTGGGTTTGTATTGGAGACAGAGTAACAAAAATCAAAATGTTTCAGAATCCTATCTACCCTCAAAAGAATACAAATGAATTTTGTTTTGTTTTAGTCTGGGTTTTTATTTTTTGGATCCTATTTTACACTTCACTTCATAAAGCCTTTCTGAGGGAACACTGTTTCACAGACTCATGCTGAAACCCATTATGCTTCAATCTCTAACCTCCTCCTATCCTCCCACACAGAACTTCCTCTTTAGTGAAGGGCATAATACTTTAAATTATTATGAAGTAACTATTCGCTATCAGAGGAGATAGTGTGATATTATCTACTATACTCATTTAGTCTTTTTGGAATCCTTGATGTCTATTTAACATTTGAAAGCCAAAAACTTGGAGGGCTAATTATAATGTATAATAAATAGCATGAAAGGGAAATATGAGCTCCTTGAATAGCAAACAGTGTTTAGTTATAAAGAAGCAACAAACTTGTTAATCAATGAAAATAGGAACTTTTTTTCATCAAAATAAAACACTTCCTATTCCATGGACAGCTAATCCAAGCCTTGTTGAACAGATGAGGGAATTGAAGTCTACGAGGTTAGAGGATTTACTCACAGGTGGCAGACAGGATGAAACTCAGATGGTAAGAGCTCTACACCATAACTCTGGAACTTTCTGTTTCTTCCCTTTTCCCACAGGGAAATTAAGGTCAATGACAATAATCCATGGAATGGATATGAATTAAAGAGAAATATAGCTAACCTCAGGCTACCACTGTTTAATTGATACTCCCATATAATTTATTGATAGTCCACATCAAATTTAGGTTTAGCATTATTAAGTAAGCGTTCTAACTTTGAAATAGACAATTAAAATTCACTAATTCAGTGCACATATTTGAAAATGATATTTATTCACTTTTTGAATAAATGGTGGATGCAGCTTCCTGCCAGGACACAGATGACCACCATGAAGTTTCCAGTCCCTTCAAGGACTGGAGGAGTCGCTATCTCGTTACTCCAGTAACCTATTTGCAGCACACATACCCTGCATCGATTATGATGCTTGAGGTTACAGCAGGTTGAGAAATGTTTAGAACACAGAGGAAAGCAGAATAATTATCCAACAGGATTCTTTTGTAACTTGTGTATGCGTGCTCAGTCATTCACTCACATCCAGCTGACCCCACATACTGTAGCATGCAAGGTTACTCTGTCCATGGGATTTCCCAGGCAAGGATGCTGGAATGGGTTGCCATTTCCTTCTCCAGGGGATCTTCCTTAACCAGGGATTGAACCTGTGTCTCCTGCACTGGCAGGAAGATTCTTTACCACTGAGCCAGCTGGGAAGCCCTTGTATCGTGTGCATGCTTAGTCTCTCAGTGGTGTCCAACTCTTTGTGACCCCAGGAACTGCTCCTCTGTTCATGGAACTCTCCAGGCAAGAATACTAGAGTGGGTGGCCATTCTGTTCTCCAGGGATCTTCCCAACCCAGGGATCAAACCCAGGTTTCCAGGCAGGAAAGATTGCTGGCAGATTCTTTACCGTCTAGTCACCTGCGAAGTCCTTGTATAGCTTAGAGTTTAGTAAAAAGACTCAGCCAAATGAAGTAAAAGGTTATCAAGAAGGATCAGTCATATACTAGTGCACATGCTTTGGACTACAAAAAAAATATGCTGAATCAATCTAGTTTGAAGAATAAGGACATTTACCATCTCATATACCTAGAGAAGAAATAAGGCAACCGCCAGTCAGAGCTCCCCAACCTCGTCAAAAACCCAATTTCTCACTCCGTGTACTCTCTGAGCAGTTTTCTGAAACTGAGGGCCCTTTAGTCAACACGGTGGCTGTGGCAGGGGAAGAAGAAAGAACCTTTCTCTTGATGTCTCTTTCTCAAGAACAAAGAAACTTCTCTAAGAAATACCCTACTAGAATTCTTCCTAGGTTTCATTTGCCAAACCTGTATTATGTACATTTCTAAACCAGTCCCTGGAAATGAAAATAAAGTTCCTGTGATTGGTGTCTTAGACAACGCAGGGTCTAGGATCACTTCCCTTATTTTATATGGGGACAAAGAGGGCACTCCGACAAACTCATTTTTCTTATTCAGAAAGGAAAAAGAGATTAAGTGAACCAAAACGTTAGGTAGGCAACCTAAATGTCTACCCAATGTTATGAATACTGATCTATTTTAATAACTTTTGGCATTTAATCTTGTATCTTTTTAATGTGATATAGCTCAATAATAGCATCCCCATGCCCCCCGCAACCCACTTCAAAACTACAAGCATACATACAAACACAAATACCAGGACTT